TCAAAGGCTTTATATATGTCTAAGGACAGTAAGAATCCCGGGATTTTCCGCAGTTTCAGAAAATGTATAAGATGGACCACCTTACGAACGAGTCATCAGTTTTTAACAGTTTTCATGCATGCTGCAATTAGTTTATATACACGTTGCAGATTCCTGCGCAGAAAAAAATTTGCACGTGATACTAATGTTGTGGTGTGAACAGGGCACATAAAGAACAATAGATTTAGTTGCGCCCTTGCAGAACATGTGCAGAAAAACTGATGTCTGCACTATGGTGTGAACGAGGCCCAAGGCCTCATATACACAATTTTTTTTTTACTCCCCTGGACACTTTTGCTCCAGAGGAGAGAAACACAGTTAAAAAAACTGGCCAAAGCTGCATTCTGCACATGCGAGTTTGCACATTCCAAGCATTCTATTGGCCAGAATATTAATTAATTCTTCCCATTAGAATGCATTAATGCACAAGTGTGCCTAAACACTCCTCTTCTGAACATGCAAGTGATTTTTTTTTTTGCCTGTAAATGCCTCTGTGGCGTTTTTTATGACCTGTGTGCATGAGGCCTTAAGCCTCGTGTACACTACAGCTGCCAAATGCCTGTTTTAGCCCTGGTTCACACCAGTGCTGCTTTGAAATCACGACACTTGGTGCAACTTCAAAGCTGACTATTCGGTGCCACTTAATTGTGGTTTGCTGACACTCTGTGCGACTTCATTTAACAAATGTCAATACAAGTTGCCACGAAGTCGACCAAAAAGTGTGCAGGAACCTTGTTCAAAGTTGCTGCGATTTGAAGAGTTCCATTGCCGCTAATGGGGTGCAACTTGTCATGCGACTTTGAACTCTCAAGTTGCATGACAAATCACACTGTTGTGAACCTCAGCTTACAAGACTTTGATTTTTTTTTTCTAAATGTCCCTTCATGTTAGGCCTTCTGTACATTGTTCAACTTCTCAACTAAGCTCAACTCAATAAACGCCTATGTGTCCATGTACACATAGGCTTTTACCAGGGTTTAGGAGTGGCAGAGTTTAGGGGCAGTTAAACATTCCTCTTCTGAACGCAGAATAATCGTGTTCAGTAGAGGAATGTTTTGGCCAAAAACGCTAAACACGGCAAAAACAGGAGTAAACTTGGCTAGCCGTGTATAGCGCTTGGGCATTTATCCATGTCAATGGAAAATACTCTGGCCAATCAAATGAATAAACGTCCAAGCGCTAAACGCGGCAATGCGTTTACACCTGTTTTTGCCGCGCTTTGCGTTTTTCTGCTGCCGCTTCCGCACCGCCCTACAGCAGAAATACTGCTACAGGGAGGCACGGGTGCGCAAAATCATGTATATATACGAGATCTTGCAGTTCTGGGTAGGGGGCGCGTGCACGCCCTACCTGCGCTGCCATTCATGGCCTTGGCTGTCTATTAACAGGTCCCGGCTGGTGATTCCCTGTCAGCACCCGGCGATATCCGAATATTACCGACGGGGGAGAGATCTGTATGTATACAATACAGAATTCTCCCGTCAGCTCCTGCACACTGCAGTGTGCTTACAGTGAAACACACACACAGTCCACATAGTAAAACAGCACACAGTTAACCCTTTGATTGCCTCATATGTTAACCCCTTCCTGCCCAGTGCCATTAGTCTGGTGTCAGTGCTTTTTATTGGCACTGATCACTGTATTGGTGTCACTGGGGATGTCAGTGACACCAAGTCAGTGACACCAAGTCAGTTCCACCCAGTGTCAGAATGCCTGCTGCAGTCCCGCTATAAGTCGCTAATCGCCACCATTACTTTAGGTAACCCCCACATGAGCTCCATGACTGAAAGAACGGAAATCTAATGAGTAAAAAGGGGAAGCCCAGGGATGGCAATACTGGGGAAAAAATGGGCTAGACATTGCTTGATGCCCTTAAAGCCAGGAAATGATAGGTGCAGTAAAATCAGGGTAAGCAATTCCAGTACAGGAGAGGAGCCTGCATATCTGTACAAGACTGAAGGTAATTCTAGAGCCTATCTTTGGGAAAAGACAATTATGCATATGTTGATTTATCTGTATGCCTATTTTGATTATAAGTGTTTTTGCTTAAACAGCAGAGATGCATTTTAACAGGAGAATAATTTGAATTAATCCATTCATTCCATTCTAATTCCAACCAAGACAAAACTACATGATATGGCAGGAAGAATGATCCACCCATAACTGAACTATCAGATCCTTTACTATTAGAAATGTATTGTGATTTATACTTATGATTTTTTATTAAATTTAAGTTGCAGTTAGAATATTATGTTGAAAAACTATTTTTATGTGTATGAGTATTTAGCATAGCTAAGAATACAGAAGAAAAAACAGCTTGGGCTTTTATATTTGGCAGCATCAGCTTCCATCTAGGTTACATGTAGGCCCTATAGTAATGTGGTAGAACAAGCCCATGGTAGACAGTTGTCAGGGCTGGGCTCCTGCTACCTAACAAGCAGCTCTTTTCTTTCACTGCTCAAAAGCTACCCAGCTGTCGGTTAATTACCAGCTCTTGTTGTCTCCACAGTGACTCACCTGGACACCGATACCTTCCTCATTAGTCCAGCCTATAGTCAGCCCTCTGTGCTATTTTAGCAGTTTAGCGCATTTTCTCCTTGCCCTTGAGTGGTCTATGATCTCCAGTGTGTTCCTGTGTACTGTCTGGCTGACTTCTCTTCCGATTCCTGTTCCTGATTTTTGCTGCTGACTTCTGGTTTCCTGACCCCGGCTTGTCTGATTACCCACTCATTAACCACTTCGGTGCCGCCCTATAGCAAAAATACTGCTACAGGGCGGCACGGGTGTGCAAAATCACGTACATATACGTGATTTTGCAGTTCCGTGTAGGGGGCGTGCGCGCCCTACCTGCGCCACCATTTGCGGCCTTGGCTGTCAATCACCGGATCCAGGCCGGTGATTCCCCGCCGGCCCCCGGCGATCTCCGTGTATCACCGACAGGGGAAAGACCTGTGTATAAACAACACAGATCTCTTCCCTGTCAGCTCCTGCACACTACTTTGTATGGCTCTGCACAGCAGAGCCATACAAAGCAGTGTGCTTACAGTGTAACGCACACACACAGCACACTGTAAACCAGCACACAGCCCCACGTTAACCCCTTCCTGCCCAGTGCAATTAGTAGTTTCAGTGCTTTTTATTACCACTGGTTACTGTATTGGTGTCACTGGGGATGTCAATGACACCAAGTCAGTTCCACCCAGTGTCAGAATGCCCACTGTAAGTTGCTGATCGCCAGCATTACTAGTACAAAAAAAAAAATTCCAGGATATATGCCACCATTTGTAAATGCTATAACTTTCATGTAAACCAATTAATTTACAAGTATTGGGATTTTTTTTTAACAAAGACATGTAGCAGAATACATTCTGGCCTAAATTTATGACAAAATTAGATTTTTAACATTTTTTTTTACTGGACATGTTTAACCAGTTCCCAACCGTGCTATAGCCATAGGACAGCTACAATGTGGTTGTCTGGTTCTGGGACGAAGTCCATGGACGTCATTCCAGAAGAACACGCCCCCCTGCTCTGCGCACCCGGTGCCACTGGTGATCGCTGTGTCCTACGGACATAGCTGATCACGTCATATGGTAAATGACCAATCACGGCAGCCCTGATGATCAGTGCCCAGCAGTGCCGCCCACCTGAACCCATCAGTGCTGCCCACCTGCACCCATCAGTGCCACCCACCTATGCCCTCTACAGTGCTACCCACCTGTGCCCTGCAGTGCCACCCACCTGTGCCCTGCAGTGCCACCCATCAGTGCAGCATTATCAGTGCCAGCTCATCAGTGCCACCTATCAGTGCCCATCAGTGCTGCCTATCCATGACACCTCATCTGTGTCCATCAGTGCTGCCTATCAGTGCAGCCTCATCAACGCACATCAGTGAAGGAGAAAAATTACCTGTTTGCAAAATTTTGTAATAGAAACAAAGAAAAACTTTTTTTTTTTCAAATTTTTGCTCTTTTTTTGTTTATAGCACAAAAAATAAAACACCCAACTGCAATTAAATACCACCAAAAGAAAGCTCTATTTGTGTGAAACAAATTATAAAAATTTCATATGGGTGCAATGTTGCATGACCGAGCAATTGTCAAAGTGCGTCAGCGCTGAAAATTGGCCTGGGCACGAAGTGGGTAGAAGTGCCCAGTAGGCAAGAAGGAGGGAAGAAGTGCCCAGTAGGCAAGTGGTTAATAGCAAAGTCAAAAATTGTTTTTTTTCTCAAAATTTGTCTTTGTTTATAGCGCAAAAAAATAAAAAAACCGCACAGGCGATCAAATACCACCGATAGAAAGCTCTATTTGTGGGAAAAAAAAAGACGTAAATATAATTTGGGTGCAACGTTGAATGACAATTGTCAAAGTAACGCAGCACTGTATCAGAAAAAATGGCCTGGTCAGGAATGCTCTGGAAGGCAAGTGGTTACGGACTAGGTGAGTTCATGTGTACATGAGGCCTTAGCCTATCGTCCATGCACACATAGGCATTTACAGGAGTTCAGAGGCAGGAACCTTAAGGTGCAGAAATCTGAATGCACATCAGCATGTGGCCAGAAAAAAAAATGGCGCGTCTAAACGCTTGTAAATGCACCTAAAAGATAAGTGCCTTTAGTGCTTGAGCGTTTAATCATGTCAATGGCCAAAATAAATTAACATTCTAGCCAAATAAATGAATAAACGCATCTAAATGTGCCTCAAAAAACTGCTTCAGGTGAGGAGAAAGGTGTTCAGAAAAGCTTAGTGTGCATGAGGCCTCATATTTACCTACACCTCATAAAAGATAATGACCTGTGTTCACACAGTCTACCCACTGCAGCCATCACACCTATCCCACTCCCACCCTCTCCTTTACCTCAGCTTTCTTCGCCTGACTGCAGTTAACATTACCCGGCGGGCGAACTACATTTCCCGTCGCCCTCTGCGTTCCCGGAGTTCCTTTACTCATGCGCGTTGCCGGCCGGCCAACATGGCGACCTTCGTGGAGATACTGAGGAGCGAGTTCCCGCAGCTGGACGCCGAGCTTTTCCAATACGTGACTGGTGAGAGGAACGACTGAGACTGGAGCTGTGTCTAGACGATATTCCCCGGCCACACCGGCCTCACTGCCCCTCAGACACCTACCCGGCCTGGACATTTCATGGCTGGGACACTGGAGCGCTCACACATGCGCCTTCTGTCTGGGGATAATCTATAGGAACACGTAGCCAGTCATTCTGAGTTGGAACTACAAGTCCCAGCATGCCTTTCTAGCCAAAGGAGACAGGCTGAGCAGACCTGCTGACACTTGTAGTCCCAGAACAGCTGGAACCTAAGTAGACTGAATGGGGACTATAGTCCCATATGAATGTCAGCCCTCCTGTATGATTAGTAATGATAAGTGATGTAAGGGGAACTAGAAGAATTGCAAAATCCCTTTTTTTTTGGTGGGGGGGGGTCCCATATTGATATTGATCTGAATATCAGCAATCAGAAGCTGTTACACTAAAAAGATCTTTATTATATGTAAAATAGCAGAATTAGTGCAGCTTTATTAAAGGAGTTCAGGACCTTCACACAATGGGGGGGGCTCATGCCTACCCCACCCAGGGTCATACATACCACAGATCAGCCTGTCTTTGTGGCGGGTATGGTGGGCTATTTCTAATCAGCCACTAATAGGGAGTCTGTTCAGTAGGGATGAGCTCAGATGTGTTCAGATCCCAGGGGAGTGAGCCCACCAGGAGGCTGTCACTGTCCTGACCAATCATAAGCAGCCGAGGTATTCCCCATCCTGCGGCCACATCTGTACATGCGCCTTGTTTAGGAGCCGCTGCCTCAGTCACCTATGATTGGCCCAGTACAGTGACAGCTTTCAGAATAGGATCTAAATATGCCAGAGCTCATCCCTACAAAGCAATGACAGGCTGATACCAACGATGGGGCACCATTCCTCCCACTGATACCAACGACGGGGCACCATTCCTCCCACTGATACCACGACGGGGCACCATTCCTCCCACTGATACCAACGACGGGGCACCATGCCTCCCACTGATACCAACGACGGGGCACCATGCCTCCCACTGATACCAACGACGGGGCACCATGCCTCCCACTGATACCAACGACGGGGCACCATGCCTCCCACTGATACCAACGACGGGGCACCATGCCTCCCACTGATACCAACGACGGGGCACCATGCCTCCCACTGATACCAACGACGGGGCACCATGCCTCCCACTGATACCAACGACGGGGCACCATGCCTCCCACTGATACCAACGACGGGGCACCATGCCTCCCACTGATACCAACGACGGGGCACCATGCCTCCCCTGATACCAACGACGGGGCACCTGCCTCCCACTGATACCAACGACGGGGCACCATGCCTCCCCTGATACCAACGACGGGGCACCATTCCTCCCCCTGATACCAACGACGGGGCACCGTTCCTCCCCCTGATACCAACGACGGGGCACCGTGCCTCCCCCTGACGACGGGGCACCGTTCCTCCGACTGGGGCACCGTGCCTCCCCCTGACACCAACGACGGGGCACCGTGCCTCCCCCTGATACCAACGACGGGGCACCGTTTTCCTCCCCCTGGCACGGGGCACCGTTCCTCCCCCTGACACCAACGACGGGGCACCGTTCCTCCCCCTGATACCAACGACGGGGCACCGTTCCTCCCCCTGATACCAACGACGGGGCACCGTTCCTCCCCCTGCGACGGGGCACTCCTCCCCCACCAACGACGGGGCACCGTTCCTCCCCCTGATACCAACGACGGGGCACCGTTCCTCCCCCTGATACCAACGACGGGGCACCGTTCCTCCCCCTGATACCAACGACGGGGCACCGTTCCTCCCCCTGATACCAACGACGGGGCACCGTTCCTCCCCCTGATACCAACGACGGGGCACCGTTCCTCCCCCTGATACAACGACGGGGCACCGTTCCTCCCACTGATACCAACGACGGGGCACCGTGCCTCCCCCTGGCGACTGACTGGTACCAACGACGGGGCACCGTGCCTCCCCCTGGTACCAACGACGGGGCACCGTGCCTCCGACTGACAACGACAACGTGCCTGCGACTGACACCAACGACGGGGCACCGTGCCTGCGACTGACACCAACGACGGGGCACCGTGCCTGCGACTGACACCAACGACGGGGACCTTTCCTCCCACTGACACCTATGATGGGATACTTCCCCCTAAGATCAAATGTGGTGATGTTTACTCCCACTGATGCCAGGAAAATGTCCACTCCCTCTGGCCACAGTCATGCTCCCACCCCCCCCCCCCCCCCAAATTCTGAAGGACAATTCACTGGTCCCTTGTTTAGAAAGTTTGGAGACCCCTGAATTACACCTACAGATCCTGTCAGCCTGTCTTTCATTTGTACAAACTTCCTGTCTCTGGCTGATTGGAAATGCCCAGCTGTACCTGTATCAGGAATAGGCTATATTAGGCTATGTACGGCCCTACACAGCCATGTGCATCAGCTCTAAATTGTGTTCACTTCAGTTCTATTAAAGCTGAATTCCAGGAATTCTATTTTTTGCATACATGCATGGAGTCAACTTGGTTTGATGTACTGTAAGTATGCATATGTGGTATCCAGAGGGCCACTGGGGATTCTGTAAAGCACTGTAGTAGCCCATACTACACACAGTGACAACCGTAATCCCCCGGTTTCTGTGCAAGCAGCTTCTCCTCTGCACACTGACCACAGGGGATCACTCGCTTTGCACCTCTGCCGAATAAAGAACTCCTTGTATTTTTTTTTTCAATGAAAAGGTGATCTCTGATCAGACAAAGTGGAGAGGAAGGATGAGAACTTCATAATGTTTACCCCATCCAATAAGATAATGCCTTGTATTCATTGAGAAAAAAATATAAGAAGTTCTATGAATGGTGGCAGTTTCATGTGAATGACCCCATGTGGTCATCATGCCGAAAGGAAGTCGCACAGAACTTGGGGGACCACGGCTATCACTGTATGTAGCGTGGTTTACAGCATCCCCATTGGCCCTCCGGATATTAAATATGGATACTTATGTTGACCAATTTGGCCCAATGTAGTTATGCCAAAAATCCTGGAGTTCAGCTTTAAGTGTGCAGATGAAATAAGTAGATAGGAATTTGCTCTTCATTGAATGGATAATTTTACCTTTACCAGAAACCTGCCTATGCAGATAAGGGGTGTCTGTGGATCATAACAAACTGTGTTTCCGACTAAAGTTGAATAATATCCTTGCTATAGGTGTAGGCCATTTATGTACCTCATGAAGCCTGACTGGAGAACTCCCATGACGTTGCGTAGTCATTACTGCTCACTTCCACCATCACAGGAGTGAGCTCTTTCTCTGAATCAAAGCACCTCACATGCTCTCTCTCCTGATGCAATAGTTTTGAGCTCAGCATCTGAGAGCTCACTGCTGTGATGGTGGAGGTGAGCAGTAACAACCAGGCCTCACCTTACAACGTCCTTGGGAGTTTTCCAGTCATGCTTCAGGAGGTATGTAAATTGCCTACACATATAGCAAGGGCATTATGCAACTTTAGTCAGAGCTGCACAGTTTTGTATCTACAGACACTCCTTATCTGTATAGGCAGCTTTTTGGTAAAGGTGAATTATCCTTTTAAGTGAACATTCACACATTTTATTATGTGAAGATTCCTAACTCAATAATATAAATCCACCTCAATGTGTACATGTTGGGTGAAGATGTTTGGTCATACCATATAAACCCGATGCACTGACCGCTGGTGTCTATAAACAGCACATCTGATCTGTAACAATATCTTTCAGGTTTTGTCCTCCTCACACTTGTCACATGTTTTTCTATCCAGATGTCCTGGACAGTGGTAGATCAGACTTTGAATCGGAGAATGATCTGTTTGAAGCAGTGGGGGAGCTACTACAGGATGTATCTGGAGATACAAAAGATGACGACGATATCAAAGACATCTGTCATAGGATGTACAGAACAATGCAGTTGTAAGTAGATCTGAACAACGTAAGGAGACACATGACAGCCATGAACATTCTAATATAGACATCTAACTGTATATAATAGGCAATGCAGTTCACACATGTAAATTAACATTGTAATTATTTTTTTTATTTTCGCTAAGGGAGAATCATAAAGTTCCTTCACAGGACCAGGTGTTACTCGAGGCTCCAATACAGTTGTCCCAGATTGCGGAGTATGGTAAGACTTGTTTATGGCTGTCAGAGCCTATGCTGGTTTCTCTGTATTAAACCTTTTTTGGTCAGTTGATTAACCCCTTAGTGACTGAGAGTAAAACAAATGTTAATGCCTGAACACAATTTTGCAACTTTGACTTACGTTGGTAAAACTATATATCATTGCAACTATTTTGTGTATCCAGGTAGATGGTACCTTGCTTTTTTCAGGACAAATTAGCCTTCATTTGGTGTTAAATAGTAATGGATATCGCCTATTTTTTTTTTTTTTTTTTATTAAATAAAAAAACTGGCCAGAAATAGAAAACATATTTTTTATTGTGACTGTATATTTCTTGCTATTACAGTAATGTACCACCAAAAAAACAACCCAAAATAAACTCTCCTGCATCGGACGATAGCACGTATGTTGTAGTTTGTACCTGTAGTAGGGCTCAGAAACTACAGTGCTCATTTTTACTTTTTTTTTTTTTTTTATCCTACCTAAAACACACTGACCCTAACTGACACTAATTTAAAAATGCTTTTTTTAGGAAAAAATTCTGCCCAAAATATATTGACATTGACCCTTACATTAACCTTGACACTGACCTAGATCAAACCTTGATCTAGCTATGTTTTCCTTTATATTTATCATTTACATCTATCTCCCCTGCAGGGAGACAAAGATGCAATGGGAGTGATTTACTAAAACTGGTGCACACAGAATCTGGTGCAGTTGTGCATAGTAACCAGTCAGCTTCCAGGTTTTATTGTCAAAGTTTAATTGAACAAGCTGAAGTTAGAAGCTGATTGGTTACTATGCACAACTGCACTAGATTTGGTGTGCACCAGGTTTAATAAATCTCCCAATCATAGTAGCTTTCTCTCCCTTCAGAAGCAAAAGAAAACACATAGGCAGGCTGCACAATGACTGATCACTGTGATAGCCAGTCGGAGGCTATCGCAGCAGTCGTGACTGGGAGCTGCGAGTCTCTGGTCCTGATCGTGCATACAAGACCCAGGTCCTCTAAGAGAGAGGCCAGTCTGCTGTGCAGCACATTCTCAGCACAAACACAGGTACACATATATGCGACCTCATAGATAAGGACACACTTCCATGAATCTGTATATATGCATACTGTTGGCGAGAAGGAGTTAAAATTAAAGTATATCTGGTTTTAACTAATTAACATTTTCACCTTTTCAGGAAAAATTAATAAGGGAACTAACACCCTACACCCCCCCACCCCTCCACTTGCCTCTTGCGGTTGATGCATTGTCAGTGCCCAGGCAGCCAGTGTAGAGATCTAGGGATTAAATATCCCTACTTTTCTCCCTTTTCATTCTCGTAGGGCTTCTGCGATGTATCAGAGCACTTCAGATTGGCAAGTGTTCTGAGCCACCCTGAAAGCCCTGCAGAGTCAAAAGGGAAAATAGTAGAGATTTTAAATCCTTGGACTGTTAGGCTGGCCATAGACGGGCCATTTATCGGCCTATAAACAAAAAATCGGTCGTTGCTGCCACCAATGCTTACGAAAAACGGACGTTTTTTGTGGATTTTCCAGACCGATAAAAAGAAACGAGAAGATCTGCGAAAAACAGCCGACGGCATTGCCCCACTAACAGTGTGAATATCGGCCGATTTTTCGTTCGGACGAAAATTCGGCTGATAAAGGACCTGTCTATGGCCTGCATAAGTCCAGCTGCCGGGGCACTGACAGTGCATTGCCCACAGTAGGGAAGTACAGTGAGGAGAGTGGTAGAGTGTTCATGGAAATACTTATTTCCTTAATGAAAATGTTAACTAACACTTTAAGGCAAGTTGGCCATAACAAACGGTTTCCTATACTATATGATATGGCTGCTGTGCTGTGTTCCGGCAGTGGTTTAGGGACTTCCCGTCTGCTGCCATAACAAAATTGAGTCAGGGTGATTGCTTTTAAGCCATTAACAGGAAGTCTTGCATTTTTATGCATGAATACAAGGCTTCCTGTGAATGGCTGAAAAGCACTCAGTCTGACTTGATTTCTTTCTGGCAGTAGACAGGAAGTCTCCGTACCACTGCCAGAACACAGCACTGCTTACTGTGCTATACAGCACTGACAGCCGTCGCATCTATTAGTAAAGGAAATATTTTGTTTGGGCCAGGTTGGTCCAAACTAACTATTTAAGGTGAAAGTGAACCTGCATTTAGACCTTAAAGCTAAATTTTAGCTTGGGTTTAAAATGACTTCCCTTGGTCCCCCCCCCCCCTTATGCATCATCAATAAAAAGTTATAAATGCAAATGTTTCCTCTTTTCCTTGTCACTTTCATGTGCCTTGAGAGAGCCCTCTCAGACTGGGCAGGGTTTAAGGTGTGTATATGTTAATTTGAACCACAGTGGAAGGCAAAATTGTTGGCAGGTGCATAGGACACCTAAAACTGTGCCCACAAATTATGCAGAGATGGAATTAGCACACCCCCAACATGATGTGGCCACAAATGATTGAAGACAGGAAGAACAAATAGATTTAATAGGCAGGCAGATAACAGCATGGATTCAGAGGAGCAAGGCTTCGTAAGACAGGAAGTCATTAGGGTAGGAAATGAAGCAATCTCCAGGTAATGAAAATTGCATAACTTTCCCTGTGGAGATGGCAGAAGGGAGACAATGGACACTAATAATATTTTCACAAAGCACTACTTGTTTGCAGAAAAAAAGGCTAGGTCTGGAGTTCAGCTTCAGATGCTAAAAGGCTATTCGAGGATTGTGGTGACACTAATAAAGATAAAATTGTGTGTGGATGTACTGCTGTCCAATTTATCTATGCAGGCTAATTGGTCTGAATCTTATCAAGTGTCATTGTGGCTAGTAGGATGATTTTTCCTTGTTGCAGATACACAGTCAGCATTATTGTTAATGATACTGAGCTGCAGCACTTAATCATCTGTTCATTTCTAACTGTAATGCGTTCAACGATTTTCTCGTTTTTTTTTTTAGATGTTGACCCACAAATTTTGAATGTCTTGCTCATGAAGAAGGGCCAGACCTCGGTAAGATCATGTGCCTTTTTCGTGAACCATGCAGTTGTAGTGTTAGTGTGTATTTGAGAATCAGGTAAAACGGACTTATGTCACCTTCTTATTGAATGACCAAGTGGTTAACTATAGACACTGTAGACTGTATGTCTGCCTGGGGGCCCATTATGGTGGGTCCACTTTATTCTTCAACTGAGTAATGATTTATCTAGGTTACAACAGTATTTAAGTTATAAAAGTCCTATTCTAACCTAATTTAATTGGGGGCAGTCTTATTCTATCCCATCCTGCTGTACTAGGTGGCCCTAGTTTATGCTTTCCCAGTTAATTGCTGACTATGACCGCAGATGCTGCCAGCATATTCTCACTATCCCCTGTAGATTATTTAATTGACTTACCTGCAGCCTTAGCAGCTTCAGAGCCATTGGCCAAAGACACAGTCAGATTTATAGTTGCTACAGTCCTTGACTGATGATTTTGCTCTTCAAATGTCACAGTCTACGGCCATCACTCCCAAATTAAAGGAGACCATTTTGGCACTCATTGATGTGATGTGCACCCCTACGAAACTAAAGTATTAGCCTGTTGTTTCTATCAATGCAGTTTCCAGTCTTGAGTCTTTTAAAACTTCTAAGATCTAAAAGACATTCCCCTTGCGCCCACTTTTCCAGCTCTTTCTATACAGAGTTTAGAAACACCCTCATTATCTGTTTGCACCCACTGGGTGCTTATTGGCCTTGTATACATTTGGGGAGGATTTTCTTTGGAATTTTAGTCCAAAGTAGTGTTTTTTTTTTTTGTTATTTCCACTGTGGATCCAGCTGTGTCCCGCCTTACTGTTCCAGTAGATAATGGTCCTGCTACTGTTGCAGTTAATCCCTTAATTACTGAATGCATAGAGCACATGACTGTAGCCTTCTATTTCAGTTGCGATGGCCTGCTGGAAGTCTTACCTTTATGCATGGGTCTCATGTTGGTACACATGTGTAGGGCACTTTAGTTGTGCTGGACTACGGACCCTTGTGTAAAAAACTGTGTATCTGCATGGCTTTCGAGGGACATCTCTTTGGACCGACTCTTGATAAATATCATCAAGGATGGTGCTGGTGGCAAGAGTACTGCTCTTACACTGTGAAAGAAACCTAACGAACAGACTGCTAAATTTTCCCTCTTTCTGACTGTTAAAGGATAAGTTCAGCTTTTGAACATGTTGCAACCATTTTTAGGTTGGAACATGTGAAAGGTTCCAGCATGTGTCTCCCTCTGATCCTCCCTCCTGTGACAGTGGGCTGGGGATCTTGTTGTCACAATACGTTAAGAGCGCGGCCACCTGTGCGGTCTCCTGTGAATGCATAGACTACAAGTACCGTCAGCCATGGTGGCTGACTGCTTGTAATTCTCAATGACTACGAGTGCACTGGTGAGTAGTCTCGTAGTTCATTGATCTTGCTCTCAAATAACTGCCTGTGTGTAGGAGGTATGAGCAGACCGCTATCCTGAGAGTTGACAGGAGCCTGAGATTGCACCCATGATCTGCAAAAAAAAAAAAAAGGTGCATTTATTAATTCTTCAAAAGATGAAACTTCCCATTTGTTTCTGTATTCCTTTCACCCTCTCAACAAGGCCCCCTATATTTCGGTGTACACTCACAAAGCCTTTCTCTGCATTGCTGTGTGCCCCTGTTTTTCAAAGTGGGGGACATTTATTAACCTTTATGGACTCTTGGACCACTTGAATCTCCAATGCGTGTTGCATCCCAAGGCTACAAACTAGAGTTTTGCTCCCTGCTCCCTCCTCATGTTTTCTCTTCTAGTTTTTCTATGTCACTGCACAGATTTGCAGTTCTACTTCATGCCCTCCTCTAGACCATAGTGTTATTGCCCTAGTACATGTGTGTTCCTACATTTTGCTGTGGAATTCTTGCACTATGAGTTTGTGTCCCTACCCTTCAGACTATCATCTTCAGTCTCGTGGCAGTCTCCACGCAAGGAATTGTCCAACTCGCTGCCTTTGCGTGAGATTCTTGAGCATGGGGATGCCTCCTTCAAGGCATTTCCATTTGCTGAAACCTCTACAATGCAACATTCTGTCATCATGGGACAAGTCAATCAGGTTCCTTGGGCAGATCACCAAAGACAAGTTTGTCCCTGGCTTAGTAGCTGGCTCTGGAACCCTGAAAGTTTTACTTGCTGTTTATTGGAGGATCCTCAAAACAGATCTGTCAAGGTGGATAGGCCTGGGCACCCTGTCAATGCAGGGGGCTTGGTTTTTGTTGAAGTGTCGTCTTCTGCTCAACATCCTGGAGCTTTGGGCAGTTTGGCTGTCTCTGCAGCTTTGAATTATTTTGCTGGAAGGTTTTACATTGGGCAAGCAGGCAGGCTGACTTCCTCAGCTGGCAACACCTGGACCCGAGAGAGTTTTCCAGGACTCTTGTCACAAGTGGGGGATACTGGATGTGGACCTCTTAGTCTCCAAGTTCAACAACAAACTGACAAATCTGCTTTGCAGGATTATGATGGTTAGCATTCCAGTACTTCTTGTTGCTCTCGATTAGCCACAGGATGATGTAGTATGCAAATCTGCTAATATGGTAATACTCCTAGTAGACTCTTGTGTACTATACCAGATCCTCTGGATCTTCTTTTGCAAGGACTGATTTACCATTCTGCTTCAGGGTCACTGGCTTTAATGGCATGATTGTTGAAGCCCAGCTTCTGGAAGATGGGCAGCTCTGAATCTGTGATTTCGTATGATGCTAAAAGCTTAGGAATACTACTTTCTGCAAGGTCCCTCATTCTGTCCACTTCCAGTTCACCAAAAACACATTTCTTTCCATTGTCTGGAAGTGCTTTTTAGGTACTGTACCAAATATGTAGAGGCTGATCTGCTGACTGCCTAAAGATTTAATTCTGCTCAGGACTCTGAGCTTCAGCAAAATGGAAGTCTCCAGCAAGACGAACAGGAGCAATGCTGGAGGCAATTTACTGTACACACTCATTCAAATTGTTATGGGTAAAGTACAGCATAAGGCCTCATTCACACCAGCGTGCAGAGATATCAGTTTTTGTGCACGCTTTCTGCAAGAACACAAGGGAGAACAATTGTTCTCTATATGCCCTGTTCACACCACAACACTAATATCACTCGCAGATTTTTTTTCTGCGTGGTAATCTGCAACATGTATAAAACTCATTGAAACGCTCATGGAAACTAATGTAAATTCGGGTCTCTGCATGTGAAATCTGTGTTTTTGGGGGGGGTTCAGTTTTTCTGCTTGTATGTTGTGAATGAGGACTAAGAACTAGTGTTCTGGTGTGAACAGGACGCATAGAGAACAATTGTTTTCTCTGTGCTGTTGTGGAACAAGTGCAGAAAAATCCACCTCTCTGCACACTGGTGTGAACGTGGCCTTAAGCAGTTATTGCAACTTTTTTTTTTTTTTTTTTTTTTTCCCCTCTTAGGATAAAGGTTTTAAATGCCACTATTGATGGACAGTTCAGTCTTTTTAAAGTGGAACTAAACCCTCCCATCCTGTAGACCTGGTTCAAACCTGTGCATTTTTGCATTTAACATGGTTTCCTATGGGATACGTTCACATCTATGCATTTTTAGTCTGTGTATTTTTGGTAAGGGTCAGGTACTTTTTTTTTTTTTTTTTTTCCCCACAGTAGATTGCAACACACATAGGTGTGAACCAGGCCTCACAGCTAAGGGAGTTGCTGTCTTGGCCTCTGCATGATCTGCAGTTGACATGGTGCTGCGCATGTGATCAGCTATGACACCAGCCATTTGATGGCTTGAAAGTTCTTGCAGTGAAGGAAATAAGTATTTGATCCCCTGCTGATTTTAAATGTTTGTACACTCACAAAGAAATGATCAGTCTAAAAATCGAATGGTAGGTGTATTGTAACACTGAGAGACAGAATAGCAACAAAAAATTCAAAAGAAATACATGTCTAACAAATGATGCACTGATTTTCATGTTCATGAGGGAAAGAAGTATTTGATCCCCTATCATTCAGCAGGATTTTTGGCTACCAGTTGTCTTTCATACAGGTAACAAGCTGAGATTAGATGCAGTCTCTTAAAGGGAGTGCTGTTAATCTATTTTTTGTATAAAATAGAGATGAGCGAATCGAAGTAGGCGAAGTGGAATTCGTTTCGAATATTGGAAAATTTTCGATTCGCGCCGAATCCGAAAATTATCATACTTCAGATGCGCGAATCAAAATTTTTCCTAAAATGGCGGCGACATGTGCGGCGACGGAGCGGGGATGTCTGGGAAGGCGCGCAGACAAGGCGCGCTGACCCATAATGCATTCATTAATGACATGTGATCGCATTAGCCAATCAGCAGCCAGCCAGCCAGCACTGTGTAATGGTCGAGCTATAAATGGCGGCCATTTTAGAATTCTCCATTTGCCTCCAGTCATTCAAGAGAGGCAGACCTGGCTGTATTGAGGGAGAGAGTTAGGGACACAGAAACGTTACTTAGGGACACAGAAACGTTACTTAGGGACAGAGAAACGTTACTTAGGGACAGAGAAACGTTACTTAGGGACAGAGAAACGTTACTTAGGGACAGAGAAACGTTACGTTACTTTAGGGACAGAGAAACGTTACTTAGGGACAGAGAAACGTTACTTAGGGGGACAGAGAAACGTTACTTAGGGACAGAGAAACGTTACTTAGGGACAGAGAAACGTTACTTGGGGACAGAGAAACGTTACTTAGGGACAGAGAAACGTTACTTGGGGACAGAGAAACGTTACTTTGGGGACAGAGAAACGTTACTTGGGGACAGAGAAACGTTACTTAGGGACAGAGAAACGTTACTTGGGGACAGAGAAACGTTACTTAGGGACAGAGAAACGTTACTTAGGGACAGAGAAACGTTACTTAGGGACAGAGAAACGTTACTTGGGGACAGAGAAACGTTACTTAGGGACAGAGAAACGTTACTTGGGGACAGAGAAACGTTACTTAGGGACAGAGAAACGTTACTTGGGGACAGA